GAAATGACTCATGCATTGCCTTCACTCAGATACGACTTGTAGAGATCCCGTCTAGGATTTCAGAGGAGCTGCTGTTGTATTTGAATCAGTGCCCTTAATGTTCATATAGGCCTTGCCGTCGAGTGCGTTATTCTGCAGCATCACACAAGGTATAGAGGCTGACAAGTCCCAGGTTAGGTATACATCAGGCTGCAAGTTTGTCCTTGGTCAGGTAGCTTACAGGACTGATGAAGCCAAGATGAGCAGGTCAGAGAGTAGTCAATTGGCTCACAGGCTGTGAAGTCTGAGAACTCCAAGATGGGCAGGTCAGAAGGGAAGCCACGGAACCTGATGTAAGACTGTGACAAGCTGGATACCGGAGCCAGAGTGTCTAAAGAGGCACTAAACGTTGCTTGACTGCCCATATATAGAGAGCGAATGCAGACGACGCTCCCATGAACTGATTGACTGCTCATTTTTTATATCATAATGGAGACAATTAGATTATATCCATTTTTGTCCTGGGTGTGGTTTTCTTTATATCAGATCACAAGATTGCCTCTTTCTGCAAATTGTCAGACACAACCTGCATTCTCAGCATGCAGAAAACCTGAGACCAAGAAGCTCTCAGACAGGCTCTTTAGGAAGAGTAAAAGGACAGATTTAATTTGTAAGTTCAAAAGTGCAAGAAGACAGGGGATCACTGCCACCATCTGTCTAGCCATGGAGGAGAATTCTTTAGTAATATTTAGGACTTCTGACTCAGTGTAGCCACCTAGACACACAGGCACCAGAGGAGCTCATCATGGACTCCATTTTGATGTGCGAATAATAAAGATAAGATTATAGGGACCCTGTATGCTTTATTACCTGACATTGTTATAACTAGGATGAATATTGCTTGTGAAAAAAGTTGAAGAACCTCACATCAGGCATCTTTGGGCATTTTTTCTTAATATATGCTGATTGATAAGAATATTGTTGTTGTTTAGTGTCATCGATTCTGTTTGAATTCATAGCGATGCTATATACTGTGAAATCACTTCAGACTCATAGTTACTCTACCAGGGTTTCCGAGCCTGTAAATCTTTGTTGTTGTTGCTGTCCAGTGCCATCGAGTTGGAGCTGACTCATAACAATGCCATGCACAGCAGAATGAAACAATATCCGATCCTGGGCCAATCTCACTACCACTACCACACTTGAGTCCATCAATACTACCACTTTTATTCAACTTTACACACCAGCCACTAAAATCAGTAATGATGAAACTTAAGAGTTCTATCAACTTCTTCAGTATGAAATTGATAAAATATGCAATCAGGATTACAGGTGATTTGAATACTAAAGTTTTAAGCAAAGAGGAAGGATCTGTATTTGGAAATGCACTAAATCCAGTTGAAGTACCAGACCTGCCTTTGTATACTATTGAAGGTATGTTAAGCCTTATGGAAATTGGCACAGAGTCTATTGTTCAGGTTACACCCCTAGATGATACATCTGGTGTGGACATTCATAGTTTATACCACACATGGATTGCCCAGATAACACACCTTTTAAGATGAAGGTGAGGAAGAAATTTGTGAAGGTAATCGCAGAATCTTTGGATATGGCTCTGATTGCTATTCTCTGTAAATCAGTTTGGACAAAAGGAAATATACTAATTGTTTTAAGACACATAAGTGCAATAGGCCTGATTGAATCCTGTGATCAGAGAGGCCAATCACAGCACTTAATCAATAAGGACAAGGTGAATTTTGTCACTGCAATGGCCAACAGAGTCAAAGCAAAAAAACAGTATATTTCCTCAAAAAGTACAAAACGAAATACCTTAGGACCCAGCCATTTCTCTCCTTGGTATATATGCTAGAGAAATAAGAGCAGAAAACAAATCTGCACATCCATCATTGCAGTATTTTTTAAAATGTTTTATTGTGAATTATGTGATAGTTTACTTGGGAGAACACTAGCTTTACATTCATCTTATTGTATATTGTTTCACTGCCATGGTTACAATCGCTTCCATGCATCAACAACCAACCAAATAGTATACCCTGAAAGCCTGCCCCAGGGTGGTCAGGACATATCCCCTCTCCCTCTCTGGGTCTAAAGTCCCCAGCTGCTCCATCTCTCCATGCCATCATCTGTGCCTCCATTTCTCGTGTCACCACTTCTTTGGGTACGGTCCTGCTCACTGCTCTTCTCCCTTGATGGTCTCAGGGACCTCCTCATCTAGACTGCAAAGTCAATCACTCCCCTCCTTTTGCTACAAAACTTCAACCTTCACATTTCTAACCCTCACAGTCAGTACTGATAACAATTATTCACTATTGTATCACAAGAGACTTATCAACATCTCCTGTCATCAACCCCATCTAGACAGATTGGATACTACTCAGTGGAGATTGTACCTTCCTCCACGCCCTTTGGATCTAGGATCCTTCTTGAAAGCTTGTAAGCCAGTCACTTCTTGCCATTGTAGCCCCCTCATTTAGGGTAGCCAAAGTCAAAGTTGCCCATCCCTGTCTACTCTGTTTATGGAACAGGTGGAAAAGATCCTTGCTGTAAAGATTTGTTTTCTTTTGAGTTACTGCATCTATAGGGGTAGGTCAAGTTCTTCAAATTGTATCAGATTACTCTTTTTTTCCTCTTCTTTCTTCTCAAGCTTACTCTGATCATCCAGTCATTGAAGCCAGGTCAAGTGGGTATTATCTGCAAGTGTGGCTGTTCTTATGCTAATGCCCTCTCTTATCAGACGGATGCTTCACACTCCACTCTAGTCCTCTGTGTCACTGACTCTGGGCCCCAAAATCCACAGGTTTTGCCACACTGCTGGCAGACCGGGTCTCCACCCGGGTTCCCAAGAGTCTGTTGAACATTGCAGGGCTTAGCTTGCAGCTTCATTGCTGTTTTTCCCTCACTTCCCCTTATCGGTGACCAACATGGTCACCAATCAGAGCATGTATTGAGTTTTAGTCTTGGAAAGGAATTTGTCCTGAGGGGACCCGACCATTTGCCTTGATGTCCCCTGTGTGAGAAAATTGCTTGTTCTTGTAGTAATCAGTCGGACTGCTGTTATTGTTTTGTGTTTTCCTGTCAGTCTTTCTTTCAAGAAGTATCTTCTGTTCTTCTAGCCACTCCAGGCTGATCTGCCTGTCCTTTCAAGTGGAAATTTCCCACCTCAGAAGATTCTGGATGTGGTTCAGGATTCCACTTATGGTCTTATGTAATGCAGAGGATCCCCTGGAAGCCTCCTTCATTAGACATGTTTTAGGTATTCCAATTCCATTCCTAAAATGAGGTTACCTCATTTTAAGGCTTCCAATCAGTTATAGGCAGAAGACAGACTTACAAGCTTTCTATGATGATAATTCTAACTATTCTGTCTCTCCAACTCCGGTGTCTATTTTATATTGGTATGCCAGAGAAACCAAGATTCAACAGACAGCTAAGCACTTATTTCTACCCTTTTGCCCATTCCAACCATGCCTCCCAGAGCCCTGTTGTTCCAAGGTTGTACATGCATCATTATTTACCTCTGTCCCATGTAGCCAATGCAAACCTGCCTAATTGTTTTCCCCTTCAGTTTCTTCTGTCATTCCCCTCCCCCTTCTTGTGTACTACCCTCCTCTCTAGCACACAAACTATCCTGTGTCTATTTCCTGCCCTGTGCTCTACCTTCCCCTACCTCCCCTTGCCCCACTTCCCACAATCCAGTAACCAGCAGAGTCCAGATTCCCCCACCCTCTTTAGAATGGTTTCTTTTTCAGTCTTTTACAGTAGTGGTCCTATGCAGTATTTCTCCTTTTCTAAATGACTAATTTCACTCAACATAATGTCCTCGAGGCTCATCCATGTTAGGTAGTGGCATGTAGCTTCCTTGTTATTTTTCAAGATACAATAATATTCCATTGTGTGTATGTATCAGTTTGTTTATCCATTCTTCAGCTGATGGGCACTTAGGCTGTCTCCATCTTTTAGCTATCATAAATAGTGCTGTTATGAACATTGGTGTGCATATATATACTAGTGTTATGGCTCATATTTCTTTTGGGTAAATACCAAATAGAGGAATTGCTGGATCATAAGGTATTTCTATTTCCAACCTTCTGAGGAAGCGACATATTGCTTTCCAGAGAGGTTGGACAATTTTCATTGGGTTATTTTTTTTATAATACTAAAAAGATGGAATGA